TAATTTTGCTGTTTCCATCCAACTTTTTTTTCGCATTTTTAATGCGACACTTCTGAATGCGCATCAAAAAGCCTTGATGGAAACACGGTTACTCATGAACCTGTGTGTCTTTACAGTGTGCCTTCAGGACAGCGTCCTAGCCTTCTGGGAACATGGCATGCAGGGAAAGAACTTCAAGTCTAATGAGGTAATATATKATAAAGAAAACTTATGATTACATCTGTTCAGACACTAAAGCCTTAATTCATAACAAAAACTCTTTCTCACCTGTGTAACCAGTGTAAGTAAACTGCCATTGTTGACATTTATCCTCCCTTTGTAAAGAGATTCAACACTCAAAACCACTGTTAGAATTTGTGTGACCTCCCTGGCACTTGTTTACTGAACAAATGARCACACACCTCTGTTTTCTCAACATCACTTTGGTCCTTCACTATATGTGTAAAGTTCTTCTGTCTGTAATCTCTGGAGATTAACTCAGATGAAGCAAAACAAAGTTTCTTTTCGTCAGGCTCAAGAAATGAATTTGTTCTCCTTTTTGCTCAAGGATCAGTATTAACCTGATCACAAGTCAAACTAAGATGCTCGATAATATTCAGTAAAAAGAGAGATGACAGGAAGGTGCAGCCTTCTCTCTTTATGAAGACTGAAATGTTAGAGGGCCCACTCTGTGTCTGAAACAAAAAGATCTTTTCCAAGTCTGACTTCACATCAGTTCTACTATAGGCAGGATTTTTGAAATGTCAGCAGCCATGTAAAATTTATGTTCAATCATATCTGCAACCTGTCACACAACAGGACCACTAAATAATTCAAGCTGCGTCTCGTTATGATTCTTCTAAAGTGAAGGAGGTTAGGCCTGGTGATCCATGCTTGTCTCGGGTGGGTGCTCCATTAAACACCCAAGACCTTGTTTTCACTTGGACTCAAACAGATCAGGTCTCCTTCAAGCCCAGGCTGACATCTTGCAGGTGTCACCCACCGACTGTCTCAAACCTGTCAGCAAGTATTGATGACACGTCAACAAGTCTTTTTAAAGGAGCCTCAGCTTTTAGACTACAGCTGTCATCCATCATGTCCTGGTGATGTTTTTATGTAGTTTTATTTTTTTAAAAGGAGAAACAAACTTATTACATCAAAAAGGTACTTTTACAGTGGATTCRTTTATTTTGTTGCTTTTCCACCTGGAGTTGAATTGAATTTTTAATAAATCCATGTACTATTAGTCCCCAACACGGACCTTATTTTTCCCATCCCACATTAGAGCACACATGTAGCACTAGGACTACCACCTCAGATGCCCGGGTAGCAGCTGGGGGTATAAGTGCCTTGCTCAGTGGTCCAGTGATCTTCCCTAACCTTCTCCACCACTGTCCTGCAATAAAGCAATAATTCCCCAAAATACCTCATATTATTAATTTAAAAAATGTATGAATACAAAAGCAAAATAATTTGTTTAAGATTCACCTGTGAGCAAATGTTAATCCAAATCTGTCACGTAATAAATGACACATCACATCAAACTGAGGATTAAAGGGGACCTATTATGCGAAATTCACTTTTTAAAGCTTTTTTTACTCAACTTTGGGAATGTACTTCTTAAAAAAAACAGTCCTAGGACCAAAAAATGCACCCAGGGGCATATTTACTGTAAGTAAATGCATTTTTAATGTATATTAACGACAAGTTTTATACTTCCGTCATTTTGTGATGTCACAAGCCGTACGACAACCCACCGGAACCTGCGTTCGGCCCCTTACCTAGCAACCCCCGGGTGAGACTCCTCCTCCTCAGTATAAAAAGTCGTCACCGTGTTGTTGTGCAATGCGCAGCTCATTTCACAACAAGCCTCCAAAAGGACAATGGGTAGAGTGTTGCACCAGAGAGTGGGAGACCAGGGTTCAAGACCGGCACGGACACTAATTATTTATTTTCGTTCATTATGAACACATTTTCTCATGTACCTCTATTGTTTAGCTTATTAAAGCCTTGTTAAAGCCTATTTGTTGGAGTTTCTGAGGTATTTTCACTGCTGCTGCTCCCTGCTCTGGTAACAGCATGCAGAGTGAGCGCAGAGCAGACGAGGGGGAGAAAAAAAAAGCTGCGACCACGACTCTGCCTCTGGGTCTCACTGGGTCTCATATGGTTGTACAACGGAGCTTCTGCTATTATTAGCCATGCTAACRTAAACGCTGGCTTTGGAGGGCGGAGTTAATGTCAACAGATTTTTGGAGGGCGTTACCAACAGAGCTCATTAACATAAACAGCTCTTCTGAACAGAAGTCAGAGCAGGCAGAACTAGAAAATGGGAAATTTTATTTGAGAATTGATTTGAGCATTAAATTGAGTGAACATGGTCTGGATAGCCCACAGACATACCATAAACATTTTTAGGACCCATAATTGGTCTCCTTTAAGATTTGATTTGATCAAAATGACCTAAACCAGTTTCTACTTCATGATTTGTTAAGCTACTGAAGAAATTATTGGGGTTTATGTTACATACTGATTTTATTTTATGGTAGAAATGTAATGATTGTTAAATGTGACTTTTGATTAACTTGATGATTCTATATTAATAGTTCCATGCCTGGTAACAAATACAACACATATTGAACTTTTAACTCATTGGGAAAGGTTTTAATTGTTTGAGGGCATGGCTTCGACAAAATGACAGGAACTCCCTCTTCACTGATGACGTAATCAATATAGGCAGAGTCATGCCCTGAAGCTTTTGATAAAACTCTTGGTATTTCCGGATTCGGCCTGATCTCCTGGTACTTTGATTGAAGACCGGACATCAGCAAAATCAAAAGTCACTTTTAACAATCATTACAGTTCTATCATAAAACTATACTATGTGTAGTGTAATTAAAATCAGTATGTAACAAACCTCAATAATTTCTTCACTACATTTAGATACGTGGATCATCCTGATATCATGAGTGGTTCCAGTGATATGCCTTGATTTGTCTTTTAATCAAAATAACCCATTGATATTTGATCTGAATCCTATTTTTAAGGTACTCTAATGAAGATTTTTCAATACAAAGAGGAAATATCAATATTTAGATATTTATTAAGATTTTACAGCTGGAAAAAAAAGCTTTGTTACATTAGTGGGAAATTTTAAAAAATATGAAGCTTTTTTGCTCTATGTTTTTTATTGCTGCTGCTTAAAAGGGGCTTAACATTTTTAAGAGTATATTTCAGACAGTCCATGCAAATAATGTATTTTTTCAGTATATTTTGACAGAATGCAGTTGTAAAATGGATAGAATTCACATTTTGCTTTGTTGGATGGCAAGAAGATAAAAAGTAGAGCTTTGAAATGCAAAAAGAAGACATGGGAGTGAGACAAAAAAAACATCCGAGTAAGCATTTTATTGCAAACAACTATTAATATGAAATAGTCTTTCTGTAGATCTCTTAAATAAACTAAAATAGGAATAACATTTGAAATWAAAAGGACTCAGTAATGAGTAGCCATTCTTGTTAATCACCTCAGACATTAGTTTTAGCTTGATGCCAGTGTTTCCATGAGGCCAGAGGAATGTTGCTCTGAGCGGTGAAGATGGCTTCACTCAGGACATCCACAGTCTGGAACCTGTTGTAAACTTGCAACCCCAAATTTTCTCAGCTGGATTTAGATCAGGGGAACACACAGGATGGTCTGAAAGAGAGATGTTGTTTCTCTGGAAGAAGTCCTTTGTCAGGCGGGCATTGAGAACTGCAGCGTTCTCCTGTTCAAGAACCCAGTTATTACCACACAGACCATGGTCTTCAGTCATGAGGGAGACCCCCTGCAACATCTAAACATAACCAGCTGCTGTTTGACGCCTCCAAAAACTGGTTTTAATTGTGCAGAATGGTGGGATCACAGGCTTTGTAGACTTGAAGGGAATTTTGTAACTGTTTAATTGAATATTAGATGCAGTATTGTAAAAGTAGTAATTTATACTTTCTGATCGTTGCAGCCTTTAAAGGGATGTAACATTAGACTTTATTTGATAAACATTTATTTTAACTGTAAAATAAAGACTGTAAAAATACTGTAGGCTGTTTAGTTTTGCAAATTAAAAATATATATATATATTTTAACACGGATGGAGCCATTTACACACAAAGCATTCTGGGTAAATGATGACATCAACTAGGTCATTCGTGTGAGGCTGCTAGGGAGCTATATCCACCCTGAAGGTTAATCTTGGACAATATCTTGACGGAGAGAATAAGGTAGAAATGACTCAGCCTGTAACTTAAAATATGGATGGAGAACAACAGAGCTGCTTCATGGAAGAAGAACCTCAGCTTAGCCTGTGAGGCTAGCCCTCACGCTATATTGCCTTATATGTATTAGCTCGGCGCTAGCGCAACAAACAAGCTAAACTGAGGTCCTCCATCCATATTTTCAGTTGCAGCTGAGTCATTTTTGCGTTCCCCTCACTGTCATGTGGATGGAGGACCTCAGTGACGAGAGGAGAATGTGTAGCGCTGAGCTAATACATATACAGTACAAGGT